AGTCCCAGCTACTAGGGAGGCTGAGGCAAGAGAATCACTTAAGCCCAAGAGTTTGAGGTTGCTGTGAGCTGTGATGCCACAGCACTCTACCCAGGATGACAGCTTGAGACTGTTGTCTCAAAAAAAAAATTACTTTTCAGGGCTCGGTGCCTGTTGCTCAGTGGTTAGGGAACAGGCCACATACATCAGGCTGGCGGGTTCAAACCCAGCCTCAGCCTGCTAACTAATAATGACAACCACAACAAAAAAATGGCTGGGCTTTGTGGGGAGCACCTGTAGTCCCAGCTACTTGGGAGGCTGAGGCAGGAGAATCGCTTAAGCCCAAGAGTTTGAGGTTGCTATGAGCTAAGATACCACGGCACTCTACTGAGGGCAACATAATGAGACTCTGTCTCATAAAGAAAATAAATAAATAAAAATTACCTTGCATTTCAAGCATCAATCATTTACACTTTGCATGAGAAAGAATAATAAAATGGAATTTTTATTCCAATGATCGTACTAGTGCAAATGTGAAAAATGGGTACTTCCCTCCCCCCAAAAAACAAGCAAAACTCTGACAAACTCAAGTGTACTTAAGTACTTAGTACTATCTTACCTTAAGCCAACTTTTCCATCACACTATTGTGAATATTTGTTGCCACCTGTTACCGGTGTCAGTGGCCAGGGGAGGACCTGTAGTTTATTATTTATTCAACTATAACTCTATTTGACTGAATACAGCCAGCCTTTGAGTTTTCCAAAGGTAGACTTATTTGGTTATAGATAATGTTTTTTAATTCTGTGGGTTCTCTAACTTTTTTAGTCATTAGGGCATTTACATTACATTTCCCCAAGCAAAAGATTTTTGTTTATTTCTAAAAGAAGTAAAAAATACTGATGAAATGGGCAACTGCTAAGGTCTTAAGCAGAACCAATAACAATCATATTAATAATTTATTCATTTAGAGACAGGGTCTACTCTGTCACCTGAGCTAGAGTACAATGGCACAGTATAGCTTACTGCAGTCTCCTACTCTTGAGCCCAAAGAATCCTACTGCCTGAGCCTCTGGAGTAGCTGGGATCATAGGCATGGAGCACTACACCCAGCTAATTTTTTTATTTTTACTTTTTGTAGAGACAGAGTCTTCCTAGGTTGCCACACTGGTCTTGCACTCCTGTCCTCAAATGATCCTCCTATAATCTTAACACTTTGGGAGGCTGAGGTGGGAGGATCTCTTGAGGTCAGGAGTTTGAGACATACTCCTGACATAGCCAGACTGCATTTCTACAAAAAAATAGAAAAATTAGCCAGTCATGTTGATGGATACCTGTAGTCCTAGCTACTCAAGAGGCTGAGGCAGGAGGATCACTTGAGCCCAGGAGTTTGAGGTTACAGTGAGCTTTGATTACACTACTGCCCTTGTGTCTGGGCAACAAGGTGAGACTCTGTCTCAAAAAAAAAAAAAAAAGGAAAAAATGATCCTCCCACCTCAGCCTCCCAAAGTGCTAAGATTACAGGCGTGAGCCACCAAACCCTCTTTTTGTATAGCACATTTTCATCCCATCCCGTTTAAGCATTACTGCAGTTATCTGAAGTACGCATAGCAAGTACAAGCTCTATCTTGCTGAAAAAGAGTGAGGCTCAGAGGATTTTAGAGATGTGTCTAGGGCTGCACTGCTAGTTCGTCTCAGTGGTATAACTAGAACCATGGTTTTCCGACTCCTAGTTTTGTTTAATCTTTATTATGTTTCCTCCGTTTTTTTAAAGATACCGAGTCTATTAGCTAAGCATGGTGTTGTGTGCCTATAGTCACAGCTGCTGAATCAGGAGGATTGTTTGAGCCCAGGAGTTCCAAGTTGCAGTGAGCTGTGATTGTGCCAGTGCACTCCTCCTGCCTGCTGACAGAGGAAGACCCCATCTCCATTTCCATCTCCAAAAAACTGCCCAAAACAAAACACAATATCCCGTCTGTGTTTCAGAACTAAACCAATTTGGAACTCTGTGGTGCTCTGCTGTAACTCTGAAACCTAAAGAACCCTGTCTTCTGAGATTCTTTATATTGTAGGGTAGCCCAAGAAAAGCTGTCCAGCTAGCTGTGTCAACATTCAGGAAGCAGGAGGGAAAAGGGTACAAACTGAAATTGCTGATTTTAAGCCTGGTCTTTTGGGCAGCTGGTTAAAATGCTTGGCAGAGAGGCCAGGCCTGGTGGCTCATGCCTGTAATCATAGCACTTTGGGAGGCCGAGGCAGGTGGATCGCTTGAGCTCAGTTCAAGACCAGCCTGAGAAAGAGCAAGACCCCCATCTCTAAAAATAGCCAAGCCTTGTGGCAGGTGCCTGTATTCCCAGCTACTTGGGAGGTTGAGGCAAGAGGATCCCTTGAGCCCAAAAGTTTGAGATTGCTGTGAGCTAGGCTGATGTCACAGAACTCCACCCAGGGCAATGAAGTGAGACTCTTGTCTTAAAAAAAAAAAAAAAAATGCTTGGCAGACAATATTAGTGAAAGGTTAGGGGAAGCTTAGGGTTCATTTGTCATCAGAGCTCCCCAGGATAAGTAACTCAGTCTCTTCTCTCTGCTAGTACAGTGTGCTAGTTAAGTGTTTCAAAAGAAAGTACAGAAATACCATAGACAGTGTTGATAGAAAACTAAAATCTCAGCTAGGCACCTATGGCTCAAGCGGCTAAGGCTCCAGCCACATACGCCTGAGCTGGCAGTTTCGAATCCAACCCAGCCCGCCAAACAATGAGGGCTGCAACCAAAAAAATAGCTACTTGGGAGGCAGAGGCAGGAGAATTGCTTGAGCCCAGAAATTTGAGGTTGCTGTGAGTTGTGATGCCACAGCACTCTACCCAGGGTGACAGACAGCTTGAGGCTCTGTCTCAAAAAAAAAAAGAAAGAGGCTCGGCGCCTATAGCTCAACTGGCTAAGGCGCCAGCCAGGTACACCTAAGGTGGCGGGTTCGAATCCCCAGCCCAGACCCGCCAAACAACAATGACGGCAGCAACCAAAAAATAGCCGGGCGTTGTGGCGGGCGCCTGTGGTCCCAGCTACTTGGGAGGCGGAGGCAGGAGACTCGCTTGAGCCCAGGAGTTGGAGGTTGCTGTGAGCTGTAATGCCATGGCACTCTACCCAGGGGGACAGCTTGAGGCTCTGTCTCAAAAAAAAAAGAAAGAAAGAAAGAAAACTGAAATTTCAAATAAACCTCACCATTCTAACATCATAAATGCAAAAAAATGCAGTAAAATGCCAGTGCCTTTGAAAGCAAAATTCAGACATAAATTTGCATGACTCAAGGTAAATCAGAGTAATTTATGAAAATTACTTAAAGCTAAATTTTTTTGTGTGTGTGTATATATATATATATATTTTTTTTTTTTTTAAAGACAGTCTCAACTTTGTCACCCTCAGTAGAGTGCTATGGCGTCATAGCTCACAGCAACCTCAAACTCTTGGGCTCAAGCAATTCTTTTGCCTCAGCCTCTCAAGTAGCTGGGAACCACAGGTTCCTACCACAACACCTGGCTATATTTAAAGATGAGTTCTTGCTCTGGCTCAGGCTGGTCTCAAACCTGTCAGCTCTTGCAATCTACACACCTCGGTCTGGATTACAGGGGTGAGCCACTGTGCCCAGCCAATATTGGTATATTTTTAAGACTGGACTGAATTTGTCTTCTAAAAGCAAACCATAATACTTTTTTCTGATGATAAATGCATTTAGTCTTCCTAAGATTCATTTTGGAAATTTCATTTTTCTAACAGTAGGGAAAATAACATTTTTATCATTAAATCCCTTTTTTTAAGAAGAAGATCTAAAATCTGATTATCACTGCTGCAAAATGAGGCTTCCGCTTTGACTGTAAAGCCAGAGGGCACTGTTGCTGCCTTTCCAAGCAGCTGTTTTTCTGGGGCTGCTGCATGACGTCATAGTAGAAGGAAAATTAAAAACACGAAGAAAACTATTTCAAAATAGACATTTAATACAATTTTTAGGCCAAAGAAAAAAGCAATAGTACATTGTCTTCAGTGGACCATCGGAGGCAAAATAAGGACCAACTCAGTCCAGCTTTGAAGGCCCTGATTTCATTCCTACTGGTATAGTTCCCTTGATTTGTGTACACTTTTTAGTGCATCATAAGGTGCATTTTACTCTTGAAGTTCCCAGCACCTCTGCTTATCACCATTTAGCTGCACAGGCAGTCTTCCCAATGGGAGGGTTTCCTACCCCTGCCCTGCAGGGGTTCTTAACCTTCAAGAAATTTCACAATCTCCTCAATCTCTTGAACCCATATAACACAAGTCTACATATAATCTTACGGGGCTCATGGACCCCACGTCCTACGGTAGTTTCTAAGGCCCCAAGTTAAGGAAGCCCTAGTGCAATGTAATTGCCCTAGGTAAAATACTGACACAGGCAGGTGGAAGGCTGGGTTAATCATAGTGACAGGTAGGAATTATCTTGTAATTTCTATTTTGATTCTTGAACAGAAATTAGTTCTCAGGGCCGCCCTTCGTTTTCAAGGGCAGTACTCAAGCTATCAGCACAGGTTAGTGAGAATAGCCGCTCTGTAAGGATTGTATAGAGTTCTTCATTGAGCTTCTAAGGGCTTCATTTAGCTTAACATTTGATCTGTAGTGAGGGGCCACTTCTGATTAATTTTGACTCACATGGAAGGGTGAACAGTGCCCTTTTCTTTTTTTTTTCCTATAATGAGCACTAAGTGTTGGAAAATTAGGGTAAGTCCTTGGAGTCCCCAGTCATTTCCTTTATAAATCCAATATTCTTTACTTTTAAACATATTAACATAAAGAACTGCACGATAAATTTACCTAATCTAACCACTGCTTGCACTGGTTAGAATCAAGAGGTTTAGCAAGAGCCTCTTCCAGGCATCCAGGAACTCTTTCCAGCCTTACTGGAGGAAAGGACAGATTACTGAAAACCAACTTGTAGGAATGAAGTGAGGCTGATAGCTGTCTAACCTAACAAACTGCCAAATTAGGTTTACAGTTTGTTGTTATTAGACTTCTGAATGGATGAGGCAGAATTAAATTTTAACTTAAGATTGTAGGCACTTTCCACTCCCCCAAACACCCAACACTGGTTTATTTCTCCAGCATCAAGAAAACCAAGGCACTAGAAAGCAAGCACACTTAGGTATTGAAGATAATTAAATCTTTATATTTTGCCTGAATTATATATTGTAGCATACTAAAACCCATTCAAGGGGAAAACATCAGCAAATTGAAAATTCTCCCAATTAGACTGGCATTTTTGCAAACTGACAAATGTAAGATTTCGTTTCTCCTCCCCAAAAACTGCAATCACATAAATCAATACTATTTTGATTAGCTCTAGAAATCACACTGAAACTATGTTACATTTACAAATAGTAAATTTATTATAACTAAAATGAATTTAATGGTTCTCAGATTTGGCCACCTTATAGCTCCGTTTAAGGAGGGGATTTTTTTTTAAACAGAAAAATGCATTATAACCTGGTCAAATTACTTTCACATTAAAAAAAATTCTAAAAAGGAAAACAAGAAAAGCAACTCTTCGATTTCACATAATTAAAGAACAGGAGAAAGCACGCAAGCTACATCATACCTAAATTTACGAAACCAACCAAAGCCAGGGGGATTTTCTCTTCTGATTATGTGTCATAAAAAGATCCACTGTCTTATATACACATGTATATGTTACATTCCATCACTGTAAAAAGTCCCCTTTGCCCCCTCCCCCCAAAAGTTTCAGTCTAGTCTCCAAACTTGGAAAGAGGCGCTCGCTCTTGCTGCCGATGCAGTTCGTTCTCGGTCAGCAGCTGGAGGTTCTCCGCGCGCAGCCGGTCCAGCTCCAGCTCTAGCTCCCGCACACGCGCGTCGTCGCTGCCCAGCCGCTTGCTTTCCAATCGCAGCCGGTTGTTCTCGTCCTCCATGCGCGAGAGGCACTTCTCCAGCTCCAGGTACTCTTTGATGAGCTCCTGTTTGCTCATGTTCTGCAGGCTTTCCGCGTGGTACCGCTCGTATGTCTCCGAGAAGTCCCGCTGCAGAAACTCACTGCCGTCCCCTCCCATCCCGTCGCTGCCCCCATCCTCCTCGCCCGCTTCTTCCATAAAGTCCTCATCGCTGGTGTCGTCGGATTTGGCAGCGGCCCGCTTGGAGTAGAGGCCGGTTTTGAGATCCGGCTCCTCCTGGTCATGATCTTCCATGAGGAACTGTGTAGTGTTATAGGGCGCGACCGGCTGGCCCTTGGCGAACATCTCGGCTCGTATCCTCGAAGCTCGTAGGCTCTGTTTTTCATCGAACTTTTTCTTCTCCTCCCAGGTCAACTTGATGTATGGTTTCCAATGCCGCTTCTTCTTGGAGGGGCGTCTCCTATGTTTTTTCTTGCCCAGCTGTCTCTGCTGCTGTCCCCACGCCTCCTCGTCCCCCGCAGCAGGAGCCCCCAACTTGTTGGCCTCGGAGTCATGACAAGGCTGGGCGTTAAGCTCAGCCTCGGGCCTCGGTTCCCCTCCTGCCGCCGGCGGGGAAGCATCGCCAGTGGACAAGTCGTCCCCATTCTGGCCTTTCTCGCCCGCTTCCAGGCAGGTCGGTTGTGAATAGGCCTGGGTCTGCAGAGGAGGCGGCTGGGGCTCCAGGCTCCCTTCCCCCTCCGGCACTGGAAGGCCACCCGACTGGGGGGACGCTCTCGATTGCCACCTACTGTCCTCCTCGAGTACCCGCTCCTCCGCGCCTGGGGGGCGCTCAGGGTTCCGCTCTTCGTGGACAACAGCAGCACCTGTATAGTTGCTAGTTTGAGGCTGGTGTTGATATTCTGATAAGAGTGGCTCGGCCATGACTAGTAAAGTCCTCTTCTCGAAGTTAGAGAAATTTTGACTAGTAAGTCCTTAAGGAAAAAAAGATTTTTCTTTAAAAAAAAAATGTCCAGCAAAGTCCTCTTCAGTTTGTAATTCCTGCAGTGATACCTTTAGCCAGTCCTTCCGTCAGCAAACTCCAATTGCAACTGGGGAGCTCAAGTCAGTAAAGGGTTAAGCGCCCACAGCGCGGCCAGCTAGCGGGTCCAAGGGGGTGCAGCGCAGGAACAGTGCGTAATGTGTTGAGGGGGTGGGCCTCAAGCCTCCCCGCAGAGCGCCCCCACGATCGAAGAGTTGGTGAGCAAGGTGATGAGGGTAAGTCCAACGGGTTAAACCCAGCCCCGAAGGGGTTAAAACTACCGATGACGCTGCCTCCGAGGGGCCAAATCCACAAAGGGTTAAGTCCCCTGCCGCAGAGCCCACAAGGGGTTAAAGTCCCAGAGCCACCTCCTTCCACTTCCACGGGTGTCGCTCAAGCCCGAGCTCCCAGTTCCCTAGGCCCGGCCAAAGCCTCAGCCGAGGACAGACAAACTCATCTCCCCTTTGGCTCGATGCTCTGCTCTGCTCAGTTCAGTTCTCCTCCGCCTCCTCCTCTTTTCCTCCCTCCCTCCTCCCCCTTCCGATAGCTCCTCTTCCGCCTCCTCCCCCGACTTTCCCTCCCAACCTGCCTTTCCACCTGCCAACTTCCAACTGCTGCCTCCCAGGCCTCTGCTCTCCTTTTATAAAGAAGCCTGTTCGCCCCGCCCACGCGCATGCGTAACAGAGTTCTCTCTGCGGGAAGCTGGGAGTCGTAGTTCCCATGTTTCAGGCCCGCCGTCCTCGCGCGCCGTACGACGTAGCCAATCCCAGTACGGAGAGGGGGCGACTCCCAGGCCGCCCCCTTCCATGGCTTAGCGTTTGCTAAAGAAACGTGAGCGACCATTGGTCAAGAGTCATACGACTGATTGAAGAAGAACGACCAATTGCAGAGAAAGTGAGGCGGGTTCTGGACCGTACCATTCTGTTTCAGGAATACGAGAAGATTCGATGGCCTGTGAGAGCACACATAGAATATTTTTATGAAAAGGTGCGTCGTAAAATCTATTCTCGTATTCTGTTCTCAGCGGAAGGATTCTGAAGGTCATAAGCCTGTGTTGACTAAAGAAAAAATGATTTATTCCTAAAAAGTAGTCCCTAAAGTGTAAAATAGGATTGATTAAATTCTATAAAGAGCGATGCTGGATGACGGCTGCTAACTCTACATTCTTAAGTTTACATTAATGGCTTCAAGGCGTGTGGTTAGTGCCTGCGTCTGACATTTGCGGAAGGATATTGCGATCACATTTTTGTAAAAAAAAAAAAAAAAGAAAAGAAAAAGAAAGAAAAAGGCGCATGAAGAAGTAAACAAATGAAGAATAAAACGTGCCGCCTTAAAGGGACAGTGCGACTGTGTTTAGAGAACCCGCCGTGGTCTAGGCCTCGGAAAACGAAAAAGAGGGTTCGAGTCCCGGGTGATGTCGATCCCCAGACTGGCCTCGAGAGACACTCCGGTGAAGGTGGCCAAGTCGCAGCCCCAGCCTCTTGAGAGCGGCTTCCTCCCCAGGGACCAGTACAAACGTGATCCGCGAACGAGCGGCTTTCCTGGGCTGAGAAGGCAAGCAGGAGAGCCTAGATCCCAGCGGCGTGGGGGGCGGGATGAAGGCCTTGCTTCCACCACCCCCACCTCTGCTTCTGAGGAAGAAAATGGCCTCCGGGGGCCAACTTGGTCTCCTCTCTTCTACCAGGAGCATTTCCTGAGCGGGGACAGGGATGTCCTGTCCAGTCAGTGGGCCTATTTGTTGGGAAGGGGGCTGGAAATTAATGAGTTGTTTATCCTTACTATCCCACAACGAAGAGTGTAGCATCCACAGAGGCCCCCTCCTCTAGTGGGTGCTAAACAAGACGAAAATTGGGGGCAGAGGATTCTGGCCCAAGCTGCTGGGGTTAATTAATGGGGAGTGCCATAGTCTCCTTTGTGAGACGTTCTCCAGACTCCAAGCCCCTGCCCAAAGGACAGGGACTGAAAAGCCCAGAGAACCAGAACCCTCCACTCCAGTCATTTAGGCTTAAAATCTTGGTGTCATCTTCACTTCCTCTTGCCAAAAGGAGTCAGTGACCCATTCTTATTTCTTCCTTGACAGCAATCCCTTACATTCCAACAGATTTGCACTCCCTAACTTCATTTCACATATAGAACCATTTGACCCCACCATGGCCCAGTGAGTTAGGAAGGGTAGGAATTACTGTCTCCATTTTAGAGATAAATCTCCAAGACTGAGAAATGAAGGGACTTGTCCAAGGCCACCTGGTGACTAAGTGGTTACAGCTAGGGTGCAGGTCTCTGTGACCCCCCACGCCATTTTTCTTCTGTTTTTCTTTCCCTCAGCAAACATAAAATCCTCCCTTTGGGGCGTGCGCAGTGGCTCATGCCTGTAACCCCACCACTCTGGGAGGCCTAGGCAGTGGATTGCCTGAGTTCAGGAGTTGGACCAGCTTGAGCAAGAGTGAGACCTGTCTCAAAAATAGCCGGGCCTTGGGGGCAGCTCCTATGGCTCAAAGGAGTAGGGCACTGGCCCCATATGCCGGAGTGGCGGGTTCAAACCCAGCTCTGGACCAAAAATAAAAAATAGCCAGGCCTTGTGGCAGGTGCCTGTAGTCCCAGATACTTGGGAGGCTAAAGCAAAAGAATCTCTTGAGCCCAAGAGTTAGAGGTTGCTGTGAGCTGTGACATCACTGCATTCTACTGAGGGTGACATAGTGAGACTCTGTCTCAAAAAAAAAAAAAGAGCTGCCCCTCACACTTTGTATTCCCTGAGGAAAAAGGGTTTTTGCAAAGAACTTGGACAGAGACCTCCAAATAGCCACATTTTCAGATTCCAGAGGACCCCAATTCAGTGGATTTGGAAGGTACTGACCCAGCCTCAGTTTACTGAACAGAGCTCAGCTGAATGGTCTCATTTGTCTTAGTGGGGGAGGGGTGGCCAGACTGTTATGTTGTAGAATTCTGTCAGCTGTGGGCTGGACAACCTTAATATTAGATGAATTCTAACCCTTTGCCAGGCATTTTACATGCCCATCATTGTGGTTTTTTGTTTTTATTTATTTATGTTTGAGACAGAGTCTCACTTGGTTGCCCTCGGTAGAGTGCTGTAGCATCACAGCTCATAGCAACCTCAAACTCTTGGGCTCAAGCGTTTGTCTTGCTTTAGCCTCCCAAATAGCTGAGACTACAGGTGCCTGCCACAACGCCTGGCTCTTTTTGTAGAAATGAGGTCTTGCTCTTGCTCAGGCTGGTCTCCCAACTTGGGAGCACAGTCAGTCTACCCACCTCAGCCTCCCAGTGCGCTAGGATTAGAGGTGTGAGCCACCACACCCAGCCTGTTTTGTTTTCTTTCTTTATTTACTTATTTTGAGACAGAGTCTATGTCACCCACAGTAGAGTGCTGTAGCGTCACAGCTCACAGCAACCTCAAACTCTTGGGCTTAAGTGATTCTCTTTGCCTCAGCCTCCCGAGTAGCTGGGACTACAGGCACCTCCCACAACGCCCCGCTATTTATTTGGTTGCAGCTGTCATGGTGTAACTGGCCCCAGCTGGGCTCGAACCTGCCAGCCTCTGTATATATAGCTGGCACTCTACTCACTGAGCTATAGGCACCCAGCCTATTTTATTTTTTTATGAAAAAGTCTTGGCTCAGTGCCTGTAGCTCAAGCGGCTAAGGCACCAGCCACATGCACCAGAGCTGGCAGGTTCAAATCCAGCCCGGGCCTGCCAAATAACAACAACTATAACCAAAAAAAAAATGGCCAGGTGTTGTTGCGGGTGCCTGTAGTCCCAGCTACTTGGGAAGCTGAGGCAAGAGAATTGCCTAAGCCCAAGGGCTGGAGGTTGTTGTGAGCTGTGACACCACAGCACTCTACCAAAGGGTACAAAGTGAGACTCTGTCTCTAAAAAGAGAAAAAAAGACAAAGTCTCACTCTGACATCCAGGCTGGTGTGCAGTGGCTCAATCATAATTTATTCCAGGCTCAAACTCCTGGACCCAATTGATCCTCCTGGGTGGCTGGGAACTACAGGGGTGTGCCATCACATTGGCTGCAATAGTTGTTAAACCCCAGGACTGCCTTATGAAAACGTCATACTTAAGTCACTAACCCAGCATCCTAGGCTCAGAGCAGTTAAGAATCTTGGCTGGGGACTCGGCCTCCGTAGCACAGTGGTTAGGGCGTCGGCCATATACTCCTAGGCTGGCGAGTTCTAACCCAATCCGGGCCAGCTAAAGAACAATGACAATGGCTACAAAAAAATAGCCGGATGTTTTGCCAGGTGCCTGTCATCCCAGCTACTTGGGAGGCTGAGTCAAAAGAATTGCTTAATTCTTAATTGCGGTGCCTGTGGCTCAATGAGTAGGGCACTGGCCTCATATACTGAGGGTGGTAGGTTCAAACCCGGCCCTGGCCAAACTGTAATAAAAAATAGCCGGGCGTTGTGGCAGGCGCCTGTAGTCCCAGCTACTCAGGAGGCTGAGGCAAGAGAATCACCTAAGCCCAAGAGCTGGAGGTTGCTGTGAGCTGTGATGCCACCGCACTCTACTGAGGGTGACAAAGTGAGACTGTCTTTTACAAAAAAGAGAGAATCACTTAAGCCCAAGAGTTTGAGGTTGCTGTAAGTTGTGATGCCAGGGCACTCTACTGAGAGTAACAAACTGAGACTCTGTCTCAAAAAAAAAAGAGCGAGACCCCATGTCTACTAAAAATAGAAAAATTATACAGGCATAGTGGTGGTTACCTGTAGTCCCAGCGATTTAGGAGGCTCAGGCAAGAAGATCTCTTGAACCCAAGAGGTTTGAAGTTGCTATGAGCTATGATTACGCCAGGGCACTCTACCCACTGACAGTCAGACTCTCAAAAAAAAAAAAAAAAAGGAAAGAAAAAAAAATCCTACCTAAGTTCATAACAGCTACTCTGCAAGTGGTGGAGCTGGTTTCAACCTAATCCTTGTGTTCCAACACCAGTGGGGTCCCTCTCCACTCCCCCTGGCCTGTTGTACATCCTTATCACAAGGAGTTTAGCCTCTGCTTGTGACTCCTGGCTGTGCCCTGTGTAGCTGTTGTGTATATCTTGAGGAATGCTTCCCTGCCTTGCAAGGACTGATAACTGAAAAGTAATGGTGACCTCCTATGGGGGCAGTGGCCAAGGCTAGGAGCTGACTGTGGAAGATCAAGAGTTTAAAGTTCTCCAGCCAGTGGCCTTCAGAACTGCCTCTTTCTCATCCAGGGGCAGGAAGGTCCTGGGGTCCAGATGGTGGCTGCCGCCCAGGACTAGAGGCTGCAGGGGCCCTGCTAGCAGGGATCCTAACCAGTGGTCTCGGAAGCACCAGGCACTAGGAGGCACTCAGAGTGGCTGGAACTAGGGCAGCTCAAGGGACACAAAAGGACTGGCACTGACCAGAGGCAGACCAAGGCCACCGGGATGCCAGTGAGAAAAAGTTCAAAAGCAAAGCAGCTCGCTTCACCTGGGGATGGGGATGTCTGTGCTCATGAGGGAGCGCGGCCCACCTTGTTGGGGCTGGGGGATGTCCTAGAGCTCAGGGCCCTACTTTACACTCAGCAGGGCGAGGACAAGGATCCTGCTGAGCCTTGGCCTTCCAGAAAGTTTCCGGGGGAAGCCTGAGCACAGAGATCATGGGGAGCATTAGGAACAACAAGCTGACGCTTTCAGGACCCCAACCCTATGCCCTGGGCGGGGAGCTGCGCGTTAGGGGGGGTCCCCCCCGAACCAGCACCCCGCCCCCCATGTTTCCCATACCCCCAAATCGCCCGAACTACGGGACGCCGACGGGGCGGCCCCATAGCAGTCCCCCCACCCCCTCTCGGACACCCTAGGTTCCCCCCTCCTTCACCCCTTCAGACCGAGGTCTGCTTTCCCGTGTCTTGCCCAGGAGGAGGGAAAAATATTCAAAAACACCAACTTCTGGTTTTCCAGGGCGTCCACGGGGGCAGGAGTAGGAAAGGAGCTTGGGTCTTGCGCGCCCGGACCCAATTCTTGCTCCCTCCATTGGGACCCAGACTGAAGATTAAGGTTTTATTTTATTTAGTGAAACATTCTTTTGTAAGTGAATCTTCCACGATGTCCTGAGTATGTGTGTGTGTAGGGGGCAGGCCAGAAATTTGGTGCTCACCCCGCCCCCTCCCCGGGGACCTGCTCCTCCTCCCCTCCTCCAGGCCGCGCTCCCGAAGCCTATTAGCCAATCCTTGTTCCAGGCTCCGGCCCCAAGTCCCAACTTGCCCCAGAGCTGAACCTCCTCCGGGAGAAGCTGGGGTGGGAAGAAAGTCAGGCGACCCGGGGGCGGGGGGGGTGGTGGGAGTGAGCCGGGGCTGAGCCTTGGCAGCCCCACCCCCGCATCAAGGCCCAGAACCCGGGTTGCACCACCGCAGCAGCCTGGGGGGAGGGGGGGAATGGGAGGATGGGGGCGGGGAAGAAGAGTCCGTGAGAAGCTGCAGGGAAGGGAGGGGTCTTATCTGGCTCCCCCTTTAGGGGAGGGGGTTCCAAGGCAAACATTGATGGGAGGAGGGATTCTTAGTGCCGTTCTCTGAAACCCTAGGAATGCTCAAGGCAAAGGAGGACGGTGGCTTCCAGACTCCTCCATTGGCTGTAGAGACCCCTTCGCTGCCGATAGTCACCTCTTCCGAGTCCGAAAGAGCCACTGGACAACGAAGGGCCACAGGAGGAGGAAGAGCAGCGTGGGAACCGAGAGGTTGAGGGGCCAAGGCCGAGCACTGGGCTGAGGCCTCTGCTGCCAAGAGGAAAGGAGTCTTTCACAGGGAGCCCTCAGCACAGCCCTCATTAGGAATCTGCTCCCACTTGGTGGGAGATTGCCTCACCATGACTCTGAAGAACCTTTCCCTATGTCCGCACCTCTACAAGAAGCCCCCAGTATGTCTCTCACAGTTTGAACTCCAGTTCTGTCCCACATCTTCCACACCAGGGCAATCTAAGGTGCCGCACAGGAGTCTGGAGGGGCTGCTGGGTAGAAGGAGGGGCTTCCAGGTTGTCTCCTCTGGGCCACTAAGCAGTGACCCTGTTGGTATGAGCTGAAGACCCCATATTGTAAAAGACTTTCCACATATTTCAAATGAGGATCCTCAGAATTTAGTTTCTAAATATCATTCTCTGTGCAGAACTGGCTGATTCCAGGTCTGGGGCAGGAAAGATAGGAGTGGGTAGACACCTTGTACCAGAAAGCAAGGTCACTTTTAAAGATGAATGCAGTCACGTTATAAGAACATAGAACCCAGCTTGAAAGGGTCCCCACTGACCCTTTCAGTCTGAGCATCAAAAAGAATGATTGTAGTTGATTAGAATTGTGAATCTGTAAAATCTTTGAGTCCATACTGATGCTCAAAAAAGGAAAACTGGAAATTTGTCACCATTGAAGTAGCATTAAAAAATCAATTCCTTACTTTGTTTTTTTTTGTTGTTGTTTGTTGGTTTTTGAGACAGAGCCTCAAGCTTTCCCCCTGGGTAGAGTGCCATGGCATCACAGCTCACAGCAACCTCCAACTCCTGGGCTGAAGCGAGTCCCCTGCCTCAGCCTCCGAAGTAGCTGGGACCACAGGCGCCCACCACAACGCCCGGCTATTTTTTGGTTGCAGCCGTCATTGTTGTTTGGCAGACCGAGCCTCAAGCTGTCCCCCTGGGTAGAGTGCCATGGCAT